TCCACATATAAGCAATATATGGCATTCTTCTTTCTCTTTCGGGCTTACTTCACTTAGAATGATGATCCCCAGGTCCATCCATGTTGCTGCAAATGGCATTATTTTATCCTTTTTGTGGTTGAGTAGTATTCCATTGTGTGTATGTATATGTGTGTGTGTATTATCTTTTTTATCCAGTCACCTACTGACGGACATTTGGGCTGTTTCCATGTCTTGGCTATCGTAAATAGTGCTGCTATGAATGTTGGGGCGTATGTGTCTTTTGGGGTTATATTTTCCTCCGGGTATATGCTCAGGAGTGGGATTGCTGGATCATATGGTAAGTCTATTTTTAGTTTTTTAAGGAACCTCCATATACTATTTTCCATAGTGGCTGCCCTAATTTACATTCCCACCAACAGTGCAGGAGGGCTCCCGTTTCCCCGCACCCTCTTCAGCATTTATCATTTGTAGACTTTTTACTGATGGCCATTCTGGCTGGTGTGAGGTGATATCTCATTGTAGTTCTGATTTGCATTTCTCTGATAATTAGTGATACTGAGCATCTTTTCATGTGCTTCTTGGCCATTGAATGTCTTCTTTCTTTGGAAAGATGTCTAGGTCTTTGCCCATTTTTGGATTGGGTTGTTTTTTTTTTAATTAAGGTGTATAAGCTGTTTATATATCTTGGAAATTAGTCCCTTTTCAGTTGCATCATTTGCAAACATTTTCTCCCATTGCGTAGGTTTTCTTTTCATTTTGTTGATGGTTTCCTTAGCTGTGCAAAATCTTCTAAGTTTAATTATATCCTGTTGTTCATTTTTGCCTTTATTTCCATTACTCTAGGAGCTGGTCCCAAGAAAGTATATTGCCGTGATTTATGTCCAAGCGTGTTCTGCCTGTGTTTTCCTCTGGGAGTTTTATAGTATCTGGTCTTACTCTTAGGTCTTTAATCCATTTTGAATTTATTTTTGTATATGGAGTTAGAGAATGTTCTCATTTCAGTCTTTCACAGGCAGCTGTCCAGTTTTCCCAGCACCACTTACTGAAGAGACTGTCTTTCCTCCATTGTACATTCCTGCCTCCCTTGTCGTAGAGTAATTGCCCATAGGGCATGGGTTTATTTCTGGACTTTCTATCCTGCCCCATTGATCTAGGTGTCTGTGTTTGTGCCAGTACCATATTGTTTTGACCACTGTAGCTTTGTAGTATAGTCTGAAGTCAGGGAGTGTGATTCCCCCGGCTCTGTTCTTGTTTTTCACGATTGTTTTGGCTATTTGTGGTCTTTCGTGTTTCCATACAAATTTTAACATTTTTCGTTCCAGCTCTGTGGAAAATGTCATTGGTAATTTGACAGGGATTGCATTGAATCTGTGTATTGCCTTGCGTAGTGTGAACATTTTAACAATATTGACTCTTCCGATCCAGAACACGGTGTATCTTTCCATTTGTTTATGTCGTCTTCAGTCTCCT